ACTTGGTGCTGATAATGCCAAGGTCACAGGTTCAATTCCCTGTATGGGCCACTCAATTAGGAGCTGGATTCGATCATCCTTGTGGGTCCCTTCCAAGTCAGAATATTCCATAAATCTGTGACTGAGGCAGCCAGCTTTGGGAGACCCATTAGGTGTTGGCTATGAGCAGTATATTGTAGCACTGTAAAGTTTATTTTAACCACAGACTCTTAGGAGTGGGGATTGGATGTCACAGAAAGCTCGTGCGTATGTGGAGAGGGAAGAGCCCCTCAGGCATGGAACAGAACATGAATACTCTTAGGTAGACTTAAATTCTGTAGGACTCCTTTCAAGGTGGGTAGGTAATTCTATATTTTCATGCTCTGTGTACAGCTTTCTGTAAGCACTGCTTAGAGGGGCAGCTGAGTCTGCAGGAGGGAGGTGGGTTGCAGGTTCCTGGCAGTGCTGTTGCACACATTGGGTGGGTACTGGAACCCTTCTGTGCCCCTTTTTACTGATATATGAAAACAGGGGTGATGCAGCTTCATCGCAAATGCCAGGACAACTTTCTGTGGGTGGATGTGAGTTGATAAAATCCTGAGCTCCTCAGCTAAGGCCTCCTTGTGTTTTAGTTTGAAGAGTGGCATTCTTGAATAACTTGTGTCAGTTCAGTTCCATGTGCCTACAATTGCTCCAGCTTTTGGTCATCCTCAGATAAATTTATGTGTTTAAGTAATAAAATGTTACCTGTGAATGAGTTCAAAATATAAACACAGAAAAGATGGAGGTTAAAGCTGAAATTCTGTTGTCTGTATTCCATATTACAGTTTTTTTAGGGCAGTTCATGAAATAATGAAGGGGAACCTCTAAATGGTCAGAACACACAATGTTATCAACTCTAAAGTTCAGGTTAATAAGGAAAGTATGAGCTGTTCTGGAGTCCCTTCCATTACAGCATTTCAGACTATATTTATAGCTTCCTCAGTAGAGAGAAGTTTTTAAACAACATTATCAGCTCTACTGGAGCTTTAAATACACATAATTAAGCTGCAAAGAAAAGCTTCCTTTCCATGTTTTTTTTTTTTTTAAGCTCCAGTGAGGTTGTTTTTTAAAAAAATCCTTCTAACTCAGCTTGACTTCAGTCAGTTACCGATGAATAAAGCTCAGATGAGGAGATACTTTAAGTATTAATGCTTGAAAATATTGAAAGGAAAAATACAAATCTTTTAATACTGTTCAACTGGAGAGGAACACAGCCAAGCAAATACCAAAGGCATAATGCAAATTGGATTGTTTTAACACTGTAGTTCTGAGAACTTGAGGTGTTAGTTATAACAACTAGGACAATTTTTAGGAAAATACATTATTTTTAATCTGATAGTACCCTTTTATCACTTGTCCTGTGACCAGCATAATACCCATAAAAAATGACACAAGAAAAGCCTTGTAAATTATAGTTAACAGATCTAAGACTGTGTCTTAATGTTATTCTGATGTACAGAGGGGTTTCTATTTCAAATGAAGCCTTTTTGCTGCACAGACTGTGCTTGCACAAGCCTGAGCAAGAAAACAAGTTCCAAAATCTGAAGTTGCCTTAACACTATGTAGTCTCTATTTCTATACAGTTTTAGATCCCTTTTGGAGACAACCACCTTGCTGAGCTTGTCTGGAGGGTTTGCATCTCATGGCATTGAGCTTGTAGATCTTCTACACGTTCATTGTGACTTGAGAAAAAACTCTTCTTGCCCTGCAATAGTGAGGGAGGCCAGAAGGTCCTATTCCACCGTGTAGAGCCTGAGAAGATCCACAGATGCTCCCAAGATCTTTTTGCAAGAGTCAGATTTTATTGGTTTGCCTTTGCACAGACACTGTAATGCAGCTTTGATCACTGGCAATGAAACCATGGAGGGCAGTAGAAGATATTCCATCTCTCTGAGCCTTTATTTGGTGGCCAAGGTGCTTGGGCTGAGCTCAAACCCACCTCTGTGATGGCTGTTTGCTCTCAGAATGGCAAAATAGAGCACTTAGGTCTGTGGGCGTATCAGTGAGGTTTGTAAGGCTGAGTGACACTGCTTTGGGTATTTAAGTCAACAAATACAGGTTTAGGGCAGTGACTTTGGCAAAGCCTTCATTGAGTACAAGGGTGAAGATTCAAACCCTATGTTTGGCTTTGGGATTGCCATCAGCATCATCCCTTGAGAGAGAGATTTCCTTGTCAATTAGTGACTAAGTCAAAATCCAGTCGGCACCATCTGGGCCCATTTTGCATCACCAGCCCCCCTTGTCATCACTTTCATTGGCACAGAGTCCTCATTCCCCTCTGGTGCAGGCCTTGCACCACAGCACTGAAGACATCTCCACAGCCACGGAGAGCTCACATCTAATTCCAGGTACTTCCTCTGCCAAAGTTCAGTGTAACAATAGCAGGAGAAAGGGAAAAGATCCTTCACTCTGGTGAGGAAAGGCAGGAAAGAAAGATTAAATGGCACCAATAAAAAGTTTCCTGAACTTTGTGCTGTAAAGGCTCTTCAGAGTCGTCCCTGGTGCTGTGGGAGCCTTCAGGCGCTGCTGCGTTTGTTCCTTCCACACCCTCAGTGTCAGCAGTTGTAGCCAGCTGTTCACCAGGCACAGTTTATTCCCAAAGTGCTTTTGTCCTTTGGAACCAACCAAAAAGTGCTAATGCTTGATTGATGCTGTTGTAAACAGGAACCCTCCTCAGTGCCTCTTCATCTCCAAAAGATGATGTATCTGTCTCCAGCCACTTTTCTCCTTCTCACTGTCTCAGTCCCAAGCTCCATCTCAGGACAAACTTGCCATGAGCCTTGATACAGCCTGTGGATGCTTTCTGACTAGGAGATACCACTGGAACAATTCCAAGGCACCTCTGATCTGTGTCACAAGTTTCTTGTGATCCTTTTGGCCCCTTGGACAAAGAGAGCTCAGGTACTTTGATGGTACTTCAGTCACTGTTGCGGGACAACTGTGGTGACTTTAAAGCTGATCCCAGCAGCAGAGCTGGTTGGGTTTTTTTGTTGTTTCCAGCCTCTCTTTGTGACGCCTCTCCAAAAATATTTTCCTCCAAAAAGCTGATGTTCTGTGCCATAGCCAGATAGTGGGGATGTTGGTGCGTAGAGATTTAAGTGCATTCAAGTTTTCCGGAGGGACAACACTGAGAGTAGGGACTCTGCTCTCGGAGCTGCTCAGCAGAAAAGTCATAAACATTGTGGTACCAACTAGATCATCCCTCCTCTGTTTTAATAGCCTGCAGGGAAAAAACAAAGGACTGGTTATCATTAGCCACACAGCAGGCTTTATCCAAGAATATCTGCCTCGCTTCTTTTTATTAATTTCATGAGGAAGGGACAAAATGTATTTTGTCCCAGCAGAAGATTTACAAATATTGTTCCACTTTTCTGCAATTCTGGGAAATCGGAACATGCTAAGATCATACAGTCTGGCCCAGTACAAAGGGAAGGAGCAAGGATAGACACACTTGCCAAAAAGACACATTCCTTGTGTTATTTGGTATATGGCTGGTTACAAAAGAGGGAAGGCTTTGAGCTCATGACACCTACCCGGGCTGCTTTCCAAAAAAACTTGAAACGAACAGCAAGGGACCATAGGAAATCATGCTCAGTAAGTGCCACTTGATGTGGTGAGTTCTTGCACCATCCTATGGTTAAGTGAGCCATTCCTTTTATGTAATATGGGGTTTGCACATCAGGCTTCACCACAGGATCGCACGGGCAGATAAGGAAGCATTCCCCTTGGAGCCTTCTTAGGAAAACGCTGATGAAATTCCTGAAGCACTTAAAAGCTCCTGCAGTCTCTTCAGACTCCCTGGATTCATTCAACCTACTGAATACTTGCTGGAAATCCCCTCAGAAGAACTGACCCGGGCACAGTCTTTCTCAACATCCACACGTGTGCCCCGAAGGCTCCTATAGCCCTTCAGCTCTGCCCAAATCAGGGGCTGAGATGAGCTGGGCAAGTTCTGGTCTATCTGAAGCACCTGCCTGCAAACTCAGGGTGACACCAAACCAAGGAATCATGGAATGGTTTGGATAGGAAGGGATCATCTGGTTCCAATCCTCCCAAGAGCTGAAGTCCAGTGCCTCGCTGGCCTCACCCTCTTCTATGGCCTTTTCCAACACCTCTATTGGGCAGTTCAACAAAGCCCAGGTTGCATCACATCAGCTTGTACATTCCAGGCATATGTAAATTAGACTCTGAATAGACATTTGAACAATTTGGAGGCATTTCCATAGTGCTTTGAGCAGCAAGGGGTGCATGAAGCTCACGCCATGCTGTGGCATCTGGGCTCCAGCAGTAGCATTGGAAGGAGGAGGTGGTGGCTAATCCACAGTTCAGGGCAGCCTTGAACAGGTAACTGAACTATGGCTGCTCTCCAGGGACCTTCTATGGAGTATTAGATCAGCCTCTTACCTCTTTTTCCTTCTCTTCTGCTGGAAATCTCTTCATAAGGTTTACTTGAAAAATATGATCAACTTGCCCTGGAGGAGGGGGGCACGCTGAATGCCCTTTTCCAGGAGCTAGAGTTCTAAGAAATACTCCTTGATTCCTAATAAAGGACTAATTTCCACTTAATCCTGAACACTAAAAAGAACAGAAGAAATTCATCAAAGCTCTTCAGTTCTGGGAGCTTGAGAACTTAATCCCCTGCCTCGAAGAGACCATTGTGCAGCTCTTGACATCAAGGATTCCTGCATTCACACAGGTATCAGACAGACAGAGAGCAAATACCTGAGGTTTTGTCTAGGGATTCAGTGTAAAATGTCCAGTTCTTTAATTACCAGGGCTGTTTAGAAGGTGAAGAGCAGTGCTGTCAAGGACAGAGTTGTGGTATCTTGGTAGTTGTCACCCAAAAGCCAAGTCCCAACAG